TCTTTTGATTAATTATTTTCTTACTTAATTTGTGATAAAATATTTGTATACTTTGGTTTTGCTTGCACCCAAACCTAGATATTTTATAATTATTTTTATATAATAATAATAATAATAATAATAATAATTATTATTATTATTATTATTATTATTATTATTACTATTATTATAATTATTTAATTATTATTATAATTATAATAATAATTATTATAATTATTATAATAATAATAAACTTTTTTTTTTATTTTTTATTATTATTATTATCGTGGCTCTTTATATACCAAAAGAAATTGAACACACTTGCCCCCACACCTCACCCGAATTGGCGGATTAGGTACGCAACAATAGCAATTAAGACTTTTTTGGTCCTTCCTTTTTGACCCCCCCACCCCCGCCCCGGCTCCTCCCACCACCTACCACTTTATTGTAAGGGTATTTAAGTAAATTAATTTTTCGATTTTATGTGTTGATAAATATTTTTAGTTTTTCTAGGCATCTAAACACTTTTATTAGCGTTGGAGCTACTTTATGTTTGATTCTTCTTTTCAGAAAGTATTATAAGTGTTAAATAACACGAAAAAAAAAAGCATGTGAAGATTTTCCTTACAATTAACAATATTTGGATTATAAGATACTTTAATTATGTTTTTGAATTTAATCTAAAATGTTAAAATTAAAATCACACAATAGAGAGGGAAATATATATATATATATATATTTTTATTTTTTTTTTATTTTTTTTTATATATTTTTTTTTTTGTAGGATAATGATTATAAGGGGAAAAAGTTTCCGGAAAAATCTTGATTATTTATTCCACATTAGATTTAGAATAATGATTCTAAAATTGTAATTCTAGAATAAAGGTTAACAACCAAACAACCCTAAGAATTATAATTATAGAATATGATTCTAAAATTGTAATTCAAGAACAACTTTGTTAATAACCAAACAACCCCTAAAAATTATAATTATTCTAAAGACTATACTATCCTATAATACCTAGTTATATTATCTATTTCCAAAAAGAAATGGATTGTGACCCTTATAAATGCCTCATAAGAGCAAAACTTTCAAAGGTGTAATTATCATATAATCAAAAAGCACTAAAGAAATTGATAAACACTAGACAAGTCACCCCCTCTATGCTACTCTAGATCATAGACATGTCCAAATATCTAAAAGTCCTAAAGGTCAAGAAATCATTATAGACCTTTTATATGGTTAAACCTAATAATTGAATCGATCAGGAGTTTTGGAGCAACGATAAAGTTATCTTTATGTGATACATAAATCACAAGTTCAAGTCATGAAAACAACTATTAATACTTACATTATGGTAGGTTGTCTATATCAGTACGTCATTTTCTGAATTCTGCTAACGCGATATATTTTGTACACTAAAAACTATCATTTAAAACTATTAATAAATGAAGTGTAGGATGACCTATGTACTTTAATTTATTTTTATTGTGCACAAGTGGATTTATAGTGCTTTATGGTTCTTGATCATGCTAAGTTAATTAATTGATAAATTAATCATAGTTGTCAATTAGTAAAACAAATTTCTTAAGGAAATCATGCTTGAATTTTGGAGGTTTTCTTGTTCTGTTGCCTCACAAAGTACGGACAATTAGATCCTAGAATAAATCAATTCTTCAAGTATATATAGGAAATATACAAATCCTTCACTATCAAAAGATTACATATTGCATGAATCTATCAATCACTAAAACCAAAAAAAGAAAAAAAAGAAAAAAGAGGAGAATTCTAGTACTAATTTAATAACCAAGTAGTAGCTTTCTATAAATAGTACAAAAATCATATTTTATCAAATATTATTATAACAATTGAAGAAAGTAATCAATTATTTATATTAGTATAGTGGGACAAGCCAAAGGAGCCACATCAAAGTGGTTGCGATAGAGTAATAAGTACCTTTATCTTTAATTGAAGGTCTTGAGTAATGGAGTCGCCAGAATTTTAAGTAGAACGACAATAATATATTCAGTGTAATCCTACAGTGAGGTTTGAAGAGGGTAGGATGTACGCAGACTTAACCATTGTATTTGTGAAATAGAAAAATAATTTTCAATCAGAATTTTCACTAAAGGAGTCAAATTGGTAAAGAAGTAAATACATGAAAAAGAATCAAAAGGAATTCAAAATATATATAATATTAACTATCTACATGATGTAACATTTTAGTGAAGAGAGTTAATTGACACCCCTTGAACAATGATGGCTCCACCATTGATTCGGATTTGATCTCTAGATATATCCTCAAAATGAAGCTTTCTAATGCAGATTCGAATTTATTGGCCCTAAAACAACAACCAGCGGGGAGCACCTCAATATACGATCGCGCGCAGTAACTGAGAGTCCTATTACACCTAAGGCCAACTTCAATTCACCAAACCAAGGTTCATCTCGTGTAGTCTGTCAAGTACCAAGTGAAAAATGAAGAAAAAAGCCGAAGGACCCCATTTTACATTAGTTCTCAACGAAGGTACATGATGAAGGCCAAAATTTGAATGCAACTTAAAGAAGAAATAAAAATGGAAAAAAGTCATGGACATAAGTGTTGGTACTTTGGACAGTAACATATTCCTTATTTTATCACATTTTAAAAACTTTTCTATCATTTGAAAAAATTACGTAATTTTTTACTTTTTCCTATTCTTGGATACATAAATTTATGCGATGTATTGTTTGGATGCATCACATTACGTGATGTATTAAGACAATGAGTGATGTATTCGAAACCAAGACGCAACGTATCGAGACGTTTTGGGATGTATTCAAATTTCATCAAATTTAAGGAATTTTTATAATTTGAAAAAAAATAAAAAATAGGGATGAAATGTAATTAACTCTAAACACTATAAGATATTTGTGTAGAATTTTATTATGGACCCATTTTAGAGGGAAATTTGGCCCATTGGGTTAACATGGTTTGTTTTAGAAACAATGATGGAGACAGTTTAAGGGCCCATAGTTGTTGATATGGTTTTGTGTCTTTTTTTTGGTACTCAATCATGACAAAGAGACAATCTTTCATGTCTTTAGTGCATTTTCTAATCAATTGGTATTTTTTTTTTTTTACCATTTGAAGATTTTTCTTTTGTTTTTATAATTATTATGCATTTTAAGTTTTATAATAACCATATATACATAATATTTATGCAATCAGATCATTTGGTAGTGAATTGTCAATGTCCAGTTTGAGCCTGTTTGGATCGGCTTATTTTAAATGTTTTTTGACTAAAATAATTTTGAAGCACTTTTATATTATTTAACTAAAATAAAAAAAAAGTTAGCATTTTTTCCAATTTTTTTTTTTTTTTTTAAAATAAATGCAAGGTCATAAGTTAGGAATTTGACTTATAAGCTAAAAGCTATAAGCAAATCCATACAGACTCTTAAACATGAGTTGTAACCTAGAAAAGAATAAGGTCGGCCTATTGAAACTATCACAAAAGATTGTGATGAGTGGTTACTTTGAGGTTTGAAAATTGAGAATGAAATCGTCTTTGGTATGAGACACTTTACCCCTCAAAGTGGGATTTCACGTCGCAAATCCAGAATGATCGAGCCCCAAAACAAGTACCCGAACACCGGGTTAAAAACAAAAAACAAAAAACTATTAAAATTGATCAAATTATACTATGTGCAGGTGACAAATATAATTGTACATGTTCACATGATTGTTTTGGGCTGTTGGGCTTCAACAAGAAATTATTACATTAATGTACATCAAATTTGTTTGTTCTCATTACCATTTTTGTGATTTATTGTACCAAATCCAAAACAAAGTTTATGTCCACCTAATTACTCCTCCTGTCTCAAATTATCTATCATGATTTTAAAAAATAATTAACTCAAATTATCTGTCACTTAAAAATTCAACACAAAATTCAATTATTTTTTCTTATTTTAGTGTTAATAATAACTGTTCCTGATGACTACAAACACTTTATCAATAGAACAAATATTTAATACAGATAAATTATATCTTACGACGAATATCTTATCGTAAAATAAATAATAAAGACACCCATTGAAGATTGAACAAATCTTAAGTCTATATGTATCAAAATTTGTGGGCTTGTGGCTATGAAGCCCAATACATCTTGAGTTGGGCCACTCACCCCACACATGGTGTCCAAATAGTAAGTTGGGCCTCAACATGATCCATTAAGATCTCGTTGTGGGTCGTGACATATTTTTTCTTCGCGACACTCATAATGGGTTGATCGTTATAAGTTAGTTACACCAGGTAAAAATTTCTAAACTATTTGGTCAACATGTTTATTATTAAGGAAAATCGATACTCCCTCCGTCAGGTGTTACCATTTGTGAAGTCAAACCGTTAATTTTTTTCCCAACAATTTTCCAAAGCTTTTCGCTATTTTGAATTAATTTTTGTGTTGATTAGTTTGTTATACTCCTTCTGTCTTAAATTATGTGGCATTTTCTTATGTAAACTTTGACTGAAATTTTAAATATATTCTTCATCATATTGACATGAAAGAAATGTAATTTATAATATTTTTAATATAATTTTTGAGTACTTAAATTTAACAACCATGCAAACAAGAAGAAAAGGGCTAAACAAGAAGAAACACATTTGTCAATATGGATAACTTTGTATATTGAATATCTATCACACTGAAATAATGAAAAGAAATCTATTTATTTTCTTTTAAAAAAAGGAAGAAAATTCTTGTCACTTTGTAGTTAATCTTTTATCCTCTCTAGCTAGTTTATCCTTATACTCTTATATTATTATTTTTAGATATATACAGTTATAAGTTCACGTAAGTTTAATAATTTTTATCTAATCCTCTCTATGTACTAAGTTTTTTTCTTAAATATGTATAATCTTTGATTGGGACTAATTGAAGTCATCATTTTAAAAATACAAAAACTTCATATTCTGAATCTGTCTTTGCTTCTGTTATCGACTTTGCTTCTATTTACCCTCTGCTTTTATCTCCTCTTATATTACATGTATCTCACAAACAACATGTTCTCCTTTTATTGCACCTATAGGATTTTCCTCCTCCTTCACCGCATCATTCACAATTTCATGGTGTAGGAGCTGTAATCGAGGCGCCGGTAATTTCTCTAACGCCTTGATTGACGTAGAATTATCCTTCTTTTTATCCTCCTTTTGGAAACGTGTTTTGATCGAAAGCTCTCCTACCGCCTTGGAGATTTCGTCGACGCATCTAGTGACGTCGATGAGTATCGACGCCACCGACATAGCCGTGATGACATCAATTGTGTCTTCTTCTGAGATGGTTCTTGTGGTAATTAAGAGCGCCGCTATGAGCTCATCGATGGCGAATTTCGTGTTATACGGGCCGGGTTCACCCGTGGAGGAAGGGAGTTGGGTCCTAGTTTTGATGGACAAAGCAAGACACTTTAATGCATTGCTAGATTTCGTAATAATTCTCTTGCAGGCTTTTTCTATTCTTTTATGAAACTCAGTTGGTGCCTGAAAAATCAAACACGTGTCAAAATTAGAAATTATGTATTTACTTTATTTTACTTCTTATGACATAGTTTGAATCGACAAAGTATTTAAGTTTTTCCTTTTTAAAAATAAAATAATAATAATTATGATATGAAACATATCATAACATTTTTTTAAAAATAAATAAATATATACCTTAGATTTGGATTTTAAGTGACCACTAAGAGCATGAAGATGGCAAGCACAATCTCTACCAAGGTTACCAATCTTTAAGTACTCTTTCCCTGGATTATTAAACCTAAATGGTCCATTTGCTGGCTCCCACCATGCAAAGTTTGCCTGAATTAATTTAAGTTATATATATTGATAATATAAAACAAGCAAATGTATAGCGTCACATCACTTTAAAAAATAATTATAGATAATTCGCAATATAAACATTAAATGGTAAAACTAAAACGTATATCTCTTAAAAATTCTCAGTGGAGAGAATAAGATTATTCAACACTCATAATAGTATAAATTATAAGGAAAAATTACCAAACTATACAACATTTTTTACCTTATTTTCTATTATTCCCTACCATTTAAAAAAATTACAAAAATTCCTCTTTTTTCTCTCTAATTCTCTCCTTTCCAGATACATAACTTTCAATCTTCCAACTCCACAATTTTCTCCCCTTTTTTGTATATGATACATAGCTATGTCAAATTGTACGGGCATGATACATAAATACTAATTTATATACATGTATCCATCTCAAAGCAAACAACTTATGGAAACAATTACATGTTTAATGTATTCCGTAACAATACAATACTTATCAATTTAAACGAGATACATAAATAGTAATGTATCATGCACTAATTTTTTAGATATGATATGTAAATTTGAATTTATACTAAATGTATCAATTACATAGCAACTACCACACGGTGATGTATCGATCTCAAATCTAACATTTTATGGGCAACAATTACTTATTTAATGTATCTAGTATAAATACAATACTTATTAATTTAAACAACATACATAAATAGTAATGTATCATGCACTATTTTTTTTTAGAGATGATTCAAATTTATACTAAATGTATCAATTACGTAGCAACTACCACACGATAATGTATCGATCTCAAATCCAACATCTTATGGACAACAATTACTTATTTAATCTATCTAGTATAAATACAATACTTATCAATTTACACAAGATACATAAATAGTAAAATGTTATGTAGCAAAAATATTTATGATGTATCTTCTCAAAATTTTCGATAATCTTGAAAAATTGGAAGGACTTTCAATGAACTAGGAGAAGAATTTTGAATCTCAAAATTTTCAAAATTTTAAGGATCTTCGATGAACTGAGAGAAGAATATTGAATCTCAAATTTTTTGACAATCTTGAATCAAAATTGAAAGGATCTTCGATGAACTTGAAGATTCAAGAGGAAATCGTTTGTCCAACAACAATTTCATCACTTTTTTATCCTTCATAACTCACCTCGCTTACCCAAAATTTCGATAAAAGCTTTTGAATCAAATCTGAAAAGTTTTTTCGCTGAACAGGGGGGAGCAATTTGAAAATTTGAATTTCTTCGTTTTGTTTAGGAGTTGCCTCTGTATGATTGAGAGTAAGAAGAAATGTAAGCGTAATTTATGGGATTTAATTAGATTTTTAGATTTTATTCCCTTTTTAGCGCAACAGAAGGATTCTTTTAGTATTAAAATTAATGTATCCGGATGGTGAATTAACGTATCCGGATGGTGACTTATGTATTCGAAAGGTACAAATTTTAAGGGATTATTGTAATTAGAAAAAAAGTAGGGATAAGATGTAATTTACTCTTTACACTGAGATTTATTAAGTTAGCAATTAGTTTTGGTTTAGGTAGAGGATTAATTAGCTAATGGGCCAATAATTAGTGCGTCGCACCTTATGAATTATAAGCCCAAATAATATTTTTCAATAGTCGAGAGTAAATTTCAAATATTAGATAATAGTATTAAAAAGGAATCAAAAAGTCATCTTAGATATATGCATGGAGAAACTCTTGATAAAGAAATTTTTTCTCTTAAATGAATCTTATGCCGCATAAAGCGGATGAATCAGATAAATAATACGATATATATATATATATAAAAAATCAATTATACGTCTACTCACCAAAGATTCCTCAGTGGCCTTAGAACCAAGAACATTTTTTAAGGCTTCAAGAAATCCCTTTTCCTTGTCTTTGGAGCCCTCACCAATTGCTTGAAAATACTCACTTTCAAAACCTACAAAAGAATTCACTTTTTTTCAAATTTTGCACCATACAATTTGTGGCTAAGCTACCCTTGTTAAAGGAGAGTCAGAAACATCTCATTGTTCGAAAATTATACTATATAGATAGGTCAACCAAACCTTTCTATACCAATCAATATTTATAACAATATTGTAGTTTAACAATCGAGTTCTTTTTTTTGGAATCAATATTTCATATTACACTATATTATATATTTTTTATAACAATATTTTTCTATAGCATTACAAAAAATAATCCAGACAAATAACAATGTTATAAAATAATTTGATTGTAAACATTCAAACTCCATAACTTCTTTATAATTTTAATCTCCGAGTTGGAGTGGGGTAAGAAGTTTTTTAAAAAACTTTTATAAAAGATATTAAGAAAAATGTAAAATTCTTTTGGGGGACGGGGTTAGGAATTTTTTTTAAAAAATAAAAATTCTCTAATTGTTTTATGGGAGAGGAGGGAGAGGTAGGGGTGGGTGGTTCGAGGGAAGGGGGGTAAGATTTTTTTTAATTTTTTTTTTTTTTTAAAAACAATTCTTTTTGAGGGGTGAGAGTGGGGTGATAGACGGATAGTGATACTTTATTCTTTAATTTTTAACTAATATTAATAACTTATTTAGTTTTTGTCAAGATGGATTGGGCCTCCTCAATTTCTTTTCATTAATGAAATTTTTTAGCTAATATTAATAATTTATTTAATTTTTGTCAAAGTGGTTCTCTAGAGCCTCCACTTTTCTTTTCATTAATGAAACTCGCAAATGTTTTGTCCATGTGACAAGATTTTTTAAATAAAAGAGAGAATGTGTACACACCAACATGACAATTTAAAACAATTCACAACTAATAAGTGATATATAGTTTAAGTATGAAACAATTCACACTCTCAGCAGTTTAGATATAAGACTTAAAAAAAATTAAAAATAGATAATTTAGTTGTGTTTTTAACGTTCACGTACCATCTAAGAAGCTTGCTAGCTTTTCAAGATTTGCAATAATAAGATTATGAAGATCTTTTCCAGCCCATACTGGTCGAATGACCAATGAGATAACCATGACTGTGGCAACACTAACCATAATAGTTGATATCCTTTGCTTAACCAACTCCAAGTACCTATCACCAGACACTGTGACCAAACTAAATGTTGCCACAGAGAACATGCATCCATAGTCATACCTCCTTTGCATATGTGGATAAAATCTTGTAAATGTACCTAGAGCACCTGCGTGATCAGAAATGGATTCAAAATTTAAATATTATACGGTTATATTTCGATACTCTAGCTCAACTAGGGATGGACATGGTATGCATGGTATAGTACGGTACTAGAAACTTCTGTTAGGTAATTTTGATTTTTAAAAGTATTATACCATTATTATACCTAATTAATTTGGTATGTGTCAGTATTTTAAAGTTACATTTTTTTATTTTGCGGTACGCAGGGGCGGAGCTACGTGGTGGTTAGATTGGACACCCTTCGTCGGATTTTTTTTTTTGTATATACAAGTAAAATGATATACAAAGTGATTAAATAATATATTTTGGACACTCTTGACACAACAAACTGTTGTAGCCCAATGGTTTCAGACGCATTGAATGAGCCAGTGCACATGAGTTAGCAACACTTTTTAAAAAGAGCTTTTATTGTTCAATTTTTGGACACTCTTCGTGAAATTTCTGGCTCCGCCACTGGCGGTACGGTCGATTTAGATAGACTTATAATAGAAAATTTTGATTTTTGACTTTTCAGAAAACGTCTCAATTATATCATACTAGTATAGCGTTGGTCTTGGCTTCAATATTTAAAAAAATATGTCATTAGACTGATTTATTGTTGAAATTACCCGTGATATAATGAACATGCAATTTTATTTTTTTTATCATGAAGAGCTTTGTCGTTCCTGATTATACATGCTTTATCTTTAGATGTTATTTGAACAAGTAAAAGTTTTATCTTGATGATCTAAGTGGGGATAACATTTCTCCTCTGCATGTCCATGAAATTTTCTCATATAAAGTCTGAATCAAAACTATTGAATTTGCGTCGACCTATAAGATGTATGCTAGATCCTCACTTTGATGTACATATACACTATTGTTGTCATGTGAAACAATTTTATGATTTGATTAATATGAAAAAAGGACTTATTATCTATTTATCTTCCAATTTTTATTTTTATTTTTTGAATTTTTCCATTTTTTTTATAATAGAGAAAAAGATTGTATTGTGCATGCATATCATACCTAGAATGAAGACCAAACACCCAAGAATTATAGGCTCCCCTTCTTTTCCACAAAACTTGGCTAAATATTTAGCTCCAATCCCTAATGAGACACCTAATGCTGTAGCAAATGCAATGTTTAAGCACTTTGATATAGTTGCACCTGAAAATAATAAAAAAAACCTTTAACATGAAAATCAAATGTAAAAAAATAAAATTAAAAAATTCATCAAATTAGAAAGAAAAAAAAATAGGAATCAATGACAGACAATCTGTAATCAACAAATTATGTTATGACAGACAAGTTTTATAGTTAAACAATACAAATTCATCGCTGAACCTATTTAACGTTAGCTAATCAAAAAATTATGTTATTTATAAACAAATTAGTGACATGTCAGGTTAGCATCGAAGTTCGTAGCTAATTATAGTTATTTTATTTTTGTAGTAAAAATTTACCAGCAGTATACTCAAATGCAACCATTACTGTGAGGACAGCCATGATGGCTGATTGTTCAAAACTATGATAAAGTGGCCATGAATAGTAAAACAATATAACCAAAGTGAGAGATAATCCCACTTTGGCTGCATGCCAAATTTTTCTTGGATCATTTTTTCCAATATTTATTGTGTTATTAGCAATGTTGCTAATTTTGTTTATCAACTTTATTGGAAACCACTTGAATTGGTTCCACAACATGTTGAAGACACTATTTTTTTCTTGGATTTTGGAATCAATATCCATTGGAAATGATTGAGTTGAGAAAGAAAAAAGAGAAGGTGATAGGATGAAAATGTGCACACAATGGAACAACATTAACAAGTTCAATTTATAGTTGAGGTGAAACAATGGGATTTGACTTATTTTACTTTTTTGAAAATTTTTCATCCACAAAATGAGTATCTACCTTTTCCTATATTGATCTTTCTTATGAGAAGGATAAGTAATGTTATGTGCGAATCGAGTCTTCTATTGATAATTAAAAGGGTTGTGAATTTAAATATAAAATGTATGTCACGGTGCGAGGGTTTTGGGAAAAATCGTGTGGGCGTGACTTCTCAAGATACTATATTAAGAGTATTTTAGGGTTGGTTTACCCTCAACAATTAGTGTCAGAGTCAATAATTTAACACGACAAATACAAAGATGACGAAGTGATGGAGTGAGGCTCGCTTATTAGCTTTACCATGCCAAAGGTAGCTTGGAGATGCACGAACACAAGAAGTTAGCTCCGAGCTTCTTTAAAATAGCGATTAGTGTTCAGTCATGTGGATGACACAAATTAAAATGACTCAAAAATTGACCAGTGGATCGTGGTGATCAACTGATCATGGCCTATGTGGAACTTATTCGAGCAAAATATTGTTGAGTGTGCAAACAGAATCGTGCATTGATAGTTGAAAATATTGAGAAGCTATACGTGAGATATGGATAGACCTATCAAGACACAACATACATAATGATGTAGCGTGTGTATTTTTACATGAAGGATGTTGGAATACTGACCCCCAGATTTGCTTAAGGAACAAGTATATTCTATCTATTCCTTTGCAGATTACAACAGTTACGTTATGTAAAGCAAATAAAGTAATGACACAATATTTTATCGCGGAAAATCCTGGCCATAAAGGGTAAAAAACCACGACCTACACCTTTGTAGGATTTAACTCTACTTCATTAAACTCTGAGCCTCATGAATTATAAACTCTAATTCCTAGACACTAACAACCAACTAGATCGTCGACTCCACTCAAAGTTATGAATTCAGATTACAACTCTTGCAATCCTAGGAACTAACTCTAATTCCTAAACTCCAACACAAACCCCCCAAGGTTTATGTTCCCAAGTCTTTAAGTCGCCCCAACTTGAAGACTCTATTCCTACTCCAGTTTATACTTCACTGGATCTAGAAAGAATTAAAAATACAACTCGATAAAAACTCAATACAAGCAAACTTGACTTAAGAACTATAAAACATAAGCCTATGAACTAGTTCTTCAATTCTTGTTTCCTTGCGTTGGCTGCACTTCGTAATCAGAAATCAGTATGAACTCCCTCTATTTGATTATATTCTGCTTGTAACTCTCTATTTAAGTGCGAAAGTTTCTCCAAAGAAAATATTGCTCTATTTATAAACTTTGAACTCTTCAAAACCTTTTTCAACTTGAACTCGATTAATTACATATCTGATCATGCTTCCTACTCTGTTCCGGATTTGAAAGTTATTTACGTCGTTATACTTCCTACTCTGCTTATGCTTCCTACTTTGTTTACCCTTCCTACTTTGCTTAGGATTTCTTTATGAAAGGAAACATTTTTGCACTGGTTTCTTGTTGAAAAAGTAACCCTTCCACCGCTTTATAACTTCTAATTCGCGTGGTTGACGTTCTCCTTATTCCAGTCGGATTCGATCTGAAAGAAACATGTCGATGTAACTGATTCCTTTCCTCTGTTCCTCTATTTGTCAGTTATCAAAATCTTTCGATCTAACAAAGGATATAATCCATTTTGCATGATGGTACCAATAGTTATCATTTAAGATTGCATCACTCAATTCACTTATAAGGATTATGGCACGTGAGTTGTCCAAGTGCAAATTTATGTTATGAAGCGTGAGTGTTTTTTTTTTTTTTGGTTTCTCACTCGATGTTTGAAGTCTACATTGGAGTTTCGATTAAATTTGGATTACGCACCACAGAGCAAGTATTAGTTATGAGTTGTTTGGGACTAATACCAGTTCTTGATAGTTATAGTTGGTATTGTGCAGTGTATTTAATATATATATATATATATATATATATATGATATGATATTATTTTTGTTATTCTGATAACTATTCATGTTTGGTTTGCTTGACGAGTAGTTGAGTGTCATTTCGATTTTTGGGATTGGGTCACAACCTCTTTAGTTTTTTCTTGTGATTAAGTGGTATATGATAAGCGGGTTGAATCAAATTGAAGCAAATCAAAATAGATCAAATTAATTATTAGGTAATGATTCAATCCGTTAAATAGTTATCTAGATCAAAATAAATTAAATAATATATATATATATATATATATATATATTTTATAATAAAAATTAATAGCTGCAGCAACATGTACACTTTACCACATTAATAATTGTTGCCTAATTAAATATTAATCAGTTACTTGTCTAACTTATTTCTAGAGAAAAAAATGGATTTCAAAGGGACATATATATTTTCTAATATATTATGCTTTTTTTCGATTGGGTTACATATTGACCCTATGAGTTATACTATTTTGATTCGTTTTTGATTCGATTGATTGATGAATTATTTTGAATTCGATTCGTTGAGTTAACTCAATAAACGAATCATGGCTCAACCAGTAGAATCATCGAACGAGTTGCGCGTATTAGGCGTGTATTTTCACCCCTAATTGTAATAAAACCATTTTTTCTTGTATAGCTTGTAAAAAAGTAATTAAGGACCATCAATTGAAAATATACGACCATAATATTAATAATTTTTAGGACCATCTATATTATCTCAAGTGGCAATCTATATATTTTAGAAAGAAAAATCATACTTTACATTTTAACCGCCTAATAAATGTTTCAAAATATTCTATTGGTAGAAATGTCACTCTTAAAATGTTTCTTCAAAGAAAAAAAAAACAAGCAATTTTTTTCAACTTGAAATGCACATGCATGCATTTTTCAATCAATTTTCCTATTTTAAAAAAAAATAAAAAACAACAATTTTGAAATATATAGTAATATTTTCATTTTGAAAAATTAGGAAGTTTTCCACTATATTTCAGTAAGAAAATGTTTTCCACCATGCTTTTTCCCAATAAATTGATTCGGTAAGAAATGAGAGGAAAAATAATATGTTATAGCATAAATTTTCCACTATTTCGGAGTGGAGAAAAACCTATATTTCTAGTAGTGAATAACGTTATACAAAATCGTATAGAGATTTTCACCTCTGACCCATTATTTTACTTAAAACGTTTGTTTTTCACATGTTCTTTTAAGAAATTATTAATTAAAAAAGACAATTTTTATAATTTTTTCATATTTATTCTTTGATATTAATTTAATCTTTCTTCACATTTATCAAAGTAAAAATAAAAATGGAAAACAATATAATTGGGAAAACTATTATATTAGACATACATGATACATCCATGCCACATATATTAATTTTATATAATCGTGTCACTAATTAAGAGTTTTCTGTCATATATCAAGGAAGATACACATAGATACATGTAATTTTGCTACCAGATACACTAAATAGGGAGAGAGGCGAGTGAGATGGGGAGGAAGACGAGTGAAATAGTCATGTATCCCAGATACATGTGAATTACAACAGATACATACATATACATGTATCTAGTGTGTATCTTGTGATTCGCATGTATCCGGGATACCAGTTACATAGGAGAGTGATGAGTAAGATAGGAAAGAGGCGAGCGAGATTCGTATATAGTCTATCTAGAACAAATACTGACTTTGACCTCATGTATCCCAAGATACATGTATCTGCACATATCAAATCTGGTAAGAATCATAATACTGTAAAATAAAATGTATCTAAATAGTTAGCTCCTAAACTAGTGAAATTTTTTCACGCTGTCCAAACTAATTTGACTTGAGTTATATTTGTCCCACTTGAAGTGCTAGCAATCCCTAAGAAGAAATTAAATAGAAAGAGATCTACTGTTTTTTTTAACCAACTTGTTCTTCTACTAATTTATTATTTATTATTTCTTGTTTGCTAAGTATACGTTCACACAAAATTGACTAGATTTCAAGCCACATGAATTCTACGCGTTTTGGATTTGGAAATATTTTTATGTCAAATGTGAATAATCGGAATCAAAATTTAAAGTTTATGGGTTCAAAATTTTAGTTTTTTAAAGTTATTGTATTCTAATTTTAATAATTTATGTAAATATAAAATTTGAACCAAAATTATTAAATTCGCCTAAACTTGTTAATCATATCCTCAGCTCCGCTCGAGAAAAAATAGTGTGTCTCAATATTTACATAAATTTGATCGATAAAAAGAATAATGTGTGTCATATATATTGAGACATACGAAGATGATAATAGTGGATATTGTCAACTATTGGCTACCGCCATCGCTGCCCACCAATATCAACTACCACCACACACCTTGGCAATCACTGCAATCGTAAGTCGTCACAACTAGCCACCTTTTACGATTATCACCATCAAACACCATTATCACAAGAACCGCCCATCATTGCCAACAATCATTACTATATATCGTCAACTATCGTCGCCATTTCACTATTATGCATCACAATTATTAATTGCCATCATCAATCATTACTGTCTACTATCATCGCCACTAGCTATAACCCATAACAACACCATTATTAGCCAACACGATTCTCAATCGGCACCTACAAACTAGAGTCATATAATTTTTTTTAATTCTTTTGGTTATGCAGTATTACATTAATCTAGTATTTTATTGAATTTTATATTTATATATTATATTTTAAAAATAAATATAAATTTTATATATTCAAACGTAGAAAAAATAAAAGTTTTATTATCCTATTTTTAATATGTCAATATTTGATTCGATTCGTTTGTTGTCCACTCTTAATTGTGGTCAAAGGCAAAGTTAGGTAAGGTTGAGTCCTTCAACAAAAAATTACATTGTTTATTTATGATTAAAATTATTTCTTATGTATATATAGTATATGTTGAATTCTCTTCAATTTCTCGTATAGTTATTTCTTCATATTTTAAATAATACTAGTGAAAATTCAGACTCTGCCGCTGAT